TCTACTCATACAATTCAAGGATTCCCCATCAAAACAATATAACAATAGCACAAAGAATTTGCGATGAGGATTGTCATTTTAAGTCATTGTCATTTTAAGAAGAAAATTTTAGCTGTTTTAGCCTTTTCAATTGAATTAATTTTTCTTGATTTCTTTACTTTATGTGGCGAATAGTCGCTAAAAAGTTACCTAAATAACAGCCAAAAAATTGGAAAAGTATTGCGAAAATCCGGAAATCTTTCATTCTATTTCACGCCTCAAATCATTTATTGGTTTTGTAGCTTTTTAGCTGAATATCTTTCAATTCGAAGATCTTGAGATATACCTACCGTAAATACTGTAATAGTACCCCACCCCCCTCGTACAGTCGCGTAGTCTCAGTCTCAGTCGCGTAGTTTTTTGTATTTCATTTTTTTTCAAAGTGCCCGTACTTTCAAAAAATGCGTTTTTGGTATCAAAAAATAGCTGAAATTCAGGGCTATTTTTTGATACCTAAGCGCGCATTGTAGCATAAACCAGTGTCGAGAAAAACGCGTCCAAAGCTAGACTACACAACGCTCCGCACCGTCATTATGGGGGTGGGGGACTATTACAGTATTTACGGTAGGAGAAAGTACTGTTGTGAATTGCTAGGTTTGTAAATACCTGTAGTGTTAAGAATGGATTTGTTGGGTGCTTAAAAAAGATCTACAGTGCTTAAAATAGATCTACAGTGCTCAAGATAGATCTACAGTGCTCAAAATAGATCAAAACATTTTCAGACTTGATCTGAGTCCACTCAACAATGCCAGATATGTTACAGGAATGTGTGGCCGCGTGTGGCGAATAGCCACTAAAAAGTTACCTAACTCTGACAGCCAAAAAATTGGAAAAGTTTTGCGGAAATCCGTGCGCTTTCATTCTATTTCACGCCCCAAATCATTTATTGTTTCCTAGTTTGTTAGCTGAATATCTTATCTTGTGTTAAAGCCTATTTAAGTGTTGTTCATATGATGCGTTTTACTTTTTTTTCCTTTCATTGTGTGAAAGTTGTTTTTTTTGAATTGAAAGGACGAAATTGTTTCTTTTTCTATCGTCGCTTTTAATTCAATTGTCGATTTTGTGTGAAAATTGCTCAAATGAGAGCCCAAAAAATTCCGAGTCAATCGGCTATTGAATAAAAATGTCTTAGTTCAAGATCAGATATCTTGAAACAAGAAATAACGTGTCTTGAGTGAAGAGTATCAAGCACGCAAAGAAAATTTCTTTACACTTTATGCTTTCTAGAAATAGACTCCACATAAACACTCGTCACAAGAACCGCAGAATTGCATCTGCAGGATCTACAGGATCTGCAGGATCTACAGGATCTGCAGGATCGGCAGGATCTGCAGGATCTACAGGATCTGCAGGATCTACAGGATCTACAGGATCTACAGGATCTACAGGATCTACAGGATCTACAGGATCTACAGGATCTACAGGATCTACAGGATCTACAGGATCTACAGGATCTACAGGATTTTAAGTTTATTAGAAAGGGAATGTTTTTTTTAGAAACAAAATATAGTAAAGAGTAAAAGTTGAAAGCAAAAAAACAGGCTTAACAACAAAACAAAAAAAATAGGCTTAACAAAACAAATTCCTCAATGTCTCAGCTGATTGTGACGCATTTTGCTTTGTGTGAATAGAAAAGGCAAAAATTTTGGAACCCATTTCGGAAACGATCGAATGAAAGGGAAAAGGGATGGGTTGAGTCAGCCAAAAAAAAAGAAGGGAAAGATTAGAAATTTGAGAGAATTGTAAAGAAAAATCAACCGTAACCAAGAATTGTAGACGGAAAAATGAAGGCTTTTATCAAGGTTTTTAAGCTTTAAAAGCAATAAATAACAATATTTTTTTGTTGAAAAAGGCATTTATCTTTTGTTTTAATCAATTATACAACAATATTAAACAAAAATACAAAAAAAAACAGCAAAAATTGATAAATTTAATAATTCTCTTTTCAATTTGATTGATCCTTTCAAAACTCGATCTCTCATTGTACAATTGTGATTGTTGCCTGGAATCACGGAAGTACGGAAGAGCAGATTACTTGCATTACTTGCATTTTGATAGCTTCTTAAGCTTTCTTTAGCTTTAAACTCTCTTCTTGGTGAATTGCCACAATTAGGAAAATCCATTTCTCGGTGAGCTCAAAAAGCAAAACGTTAAAACGTTCTTTTGCATTCAAAACTATTTCCTAGTTTCTTATCTAGTTATCGTATATGAGGACCCTCTTAAAGCAACTGAGACAGACAGTAGAATACTCAGTAACCTCAAGTAAAAGTTTGGGTACACAAACTTTTGAAAGTGTTGGCAAGTGTTCGCCTTGAGAAGTATTCGACCTGGCAAGTGTTTGACTTGGCAAGGGTTCGACTTGGCAAGGGTTCGACTTGGAAAGTATTCGACTTGGCAAGGGTTTGATCTGCCAAGTGTTCGACCTGGCAAGTGTTTGACTTGGCAAGGGTTTGATCTGCCAAGTATTCGACCGTTCAAACTGTTCAAAAATGCGTCCGCCAGATTCATAAGTACCAAAGTTTGATAAAATGTCTGATCTTGTGAAGAAAACAAACCATTTCAATATGGAATTTGCTCTCCGGTATCCTCAATCTCTTTTCAATCATTTAGCTATGAACCTAGGAATTAAATTAATCAAATATAGAAATCAAATGACTGTAATATAGAAATTCTTGAGAAAACTCGAGTTTTTTAAAGTTTTTGAGGCTGTCGAGGCTGTCTAGAAGACGATTTCGATCAGAGGAAACTGAAAAAAGAGTTTTGAGTTATTTTTTGGTGTAGCACTTGTAACCAGGACCAAATTTTCGGGTCAAGCCATCCTCAGCAAGCCAGCCAGCCAGCCAGCCAGCCAACCAGCCAGCCAGCCAGCCAGCCAGCCAGCCAGCCAGCCAGCAGGTCAAGGTTTACAACTAGACTTCTCCAGTTTCAAACCTGGCCCTTGCTGATGATTGTTTTTTTTTGTAAATCGTGAAAAATGTAGAGAATGAAACTATTGGAAGCGCCAAAAAAAAGTGCTCATTTTCTGCTCATTTCTACTTTAAAATTAACGATTAAAGTGTTGATTTAAAGTTTCAAATCGAATTTTCAGACGATGAGACAATTTCTTTCACTTTAATTTACTTTAATTTACTTTATTCAAGCTATTCAGCTAATAATTGTCTAATAATTGTCACATAAAAGGCAACATTTCGCAGATAATTAGAAAACAGCAAATAATTGTCAAGTAAAACATCGAAAATTTATATTTATTATAGAAATAAGCTTCTAAGCTCTTATTTTTCAATGCCTTTTGTAACAAATTTCCCTTCATTGCCCGTTATATTGAAAGAAATGGTTATCGAGAAGCTGGAGGTCAACGAATCATTTCAATTACTCAAAATCGCGAAGATTACGAGGTAAGCCAAAGCCAAAGCCAAAGCCTAAGCCAAAGCCAAAGCCAAAGCCTAAGCCAAAGCCAAAGCCAAAGCCTAAGCCAAAGCCTAAGCCAAAGCCTAAGCCAAAGCCTAAGCCAAAGCCAAAGCCTAAGCCAAAGCCTAAGCCAAAGCTATAGCTGATCTTTTTTCCAGAAAACACATCCTCCACTCTGGCGCTCATCCAAGAAATGCTGACGTGGAGATTTGTGTGGAGGAATTCGTGCAACGTGGAGAATCGGTTTGAGTTTAAAGTGAAAGTTGAATAGAGTCTGAAGATTACGAGGTAAGCCTCGTAATCTGTGAAGTGAAGCTGAATAGAGTGAATAGAGTCAATAAATCTTCAGATTTTCTCCAGTAATTATCTCATTTCAATTCGTGCACCAGATGGTGAGATGGTTTATTTAAAAAATGGATTGCTTCGACAGAAACGCTTCAGGTTTGGATTTGAGTTTTTTACTGTTATTTAAGAGCTACTGTTAGTCAAGGATTTCTGTCAATTTTTGAATTTTCTTGAGAAATTTTCTGATAATTCATTGCCAAAGAATCCCCAATTTTCTCTCTTTCATCAATATATTTAAACGAGAAGTTCTCAGGCTCATTCCCGGGCTCTAGCTTTGGCTTTTTCACTTTAGTTGAGCGCATAATTACGATAGGAACTATTGGATTATTGTAACTATTGGATGAGGTTTGTGATAGCGAACAAACTGGATTCGGGTTACGGTAGTGAAACCACAATTCAATCCCCTAACAAACAAGGATAGAAAGTTTCAATTTCAGTGATCCCATCCACATCTCACCTACATCCATTCATCATTTCCTGAAGCTCCTCAAATCACCCTCATTATTCTACGTGCGGATTGGAGTGCTACAAGTTGGGAATAAATCGTTGCATGAGTTGTAGACCTAGCTCTTGATCACCTAGCTCTTGATCAGGACAGAGTCATGACTCTCTAGAGAGTCAGGACTCTCTATAGATCTATGACAATACTATATTCCTCATCCTCTACTCTAAATGTTTTTCTTTTTAGGAGTTGACGCTTTACGAGAAGAGTAATCTTCAGTTTTCAATCGATTATCCTTTTTCGAACAATGAAGAAAAAACAACTGAATTCGAGGTTGAAATGAAATCTTTTAACATTTATAGCATTCTTATTTTTTTAAGCTTACACATTCTTTGCTTGGCAATCGATCAATGAAACATTTCTCGCTTCTTGTCAAGTATTTCAAGTTGTTTGAGATCTTCTCGCAGAAAGATGCTTCGATTTTCGCAAATGATGGACGACTTTATTTAGTTTGTTTAAGAAAGGATTAGAAAATTTAAGATTTAAAGATTTAGAGAAGATTTAGAGAAGATTAAAGATTAAGGATTAAGGATTTAGATTTAGATTTAGATTAAAGTAGAAAGAGAAAATTCTCTTAATTCAGGGAAACGACATAGAAATCGATGCCGTCAATGAAGTGGATCTTGCCAAAATTTGTCGAAAAATGGTAAGCTGACAGATAATCAAAAGATTTGTATTGATTTGAATGATGCTTTTCCAGTTCTCTATGCTTTCCTCAATCACTCTAATCGGCGCTTGTGACAATTTGTTAGCGGTGATGAGGTCACTCAAAAAGCGGTTTACTTTTGAAGTTCACTCATTGTTGCAATACGATTGGTGTCTTGAGGTAAACTGTAAATGGAAAACCTTTCTATTGCATTGAATTGTTTATTTCTCAAAGAAATCTAGATCTAAACCTAAATCTAAATCTAAACCTAAACCTAGATCTAAATCTAAATCTAAACCTAAATCTAGATCTAAATCTAAACCTAAATCTAAATCTAAACCTAAATCTAAACCTAGATCTAAATCTAAATCTAGATCTAAATCTAAATCTAGATCTAAATCTAAATCTAAATCTAAACCTAAATCTAGATCTAAATCTAAACCTAAATCTAAATCTAAACCTAAACCTAGATCTAAATCTAAATCTAAACCTAAATCTAGATCTAAATCTAAACCTAAATCTAAACCTAGATCTAAATCTAAATCTAGATCTAAATCTAAATCTAGATCTAAATCTAAATCTAAATCTAAACCTAAATCTAGATCTAAATCTAAACCTAAATCTAAATCTAAACCTAAATCTAAACCTAGATCTAAATCTAAATCTAGATCTAAATCTAAACCTAAATCTAAATCTAAACCTAAATCTAAACCTAAATCTTAATCAGAGAAAAAAGCAAATAAAGTTTTACGAAAATTATTTATTTTTTTAGCAATTTTCCATGAATAGCTGGGATTTTTGTGGGAAAAATTTGAATTCTGGGCTTTTATTTGATGTTCTTTCGCCGATTTGTCTTTACGAGCAACTCGATTTCTTCTATTGGCTTATTTTTGTGGGTTTTTGCAAAAAAAAAAAAGAGCTTTAAAGCTTTGTCTAGCTTTAAAAGCTTTTTGATTTGAGGTTAAAATTTAAAGTTAAATGAATCACCTAAAGATTAATTTTAGGATTCCTTAAAGAGGCTCATTCAAGTTGAAGAGATTCCAATCGAATCACCCAAATTCGAGGCGACTTTTCGACAATTTTACTCAACGGAAATGGTAAAATCAGAGTTTTCCTTAATAAAGAACGAATTTAAAGATGAAATATCGAGGTTAATGGTCGAAAATCTAAACGTTTATTTCATTCGATAGCTTTCAGGTGTTCTTCTCGACTGAAGAAGGCCCGAAACCGTATGCGAAACTCTTCCAACGAGCGATTAACAAGCAAAAGGGTAAAGAGGAATTGGGGAATCTTTGGGAAGATTGCAATTGATCAATTTCTATCGAATTGATCAATTCGTAAATATTAGAAAGCAAGAGTTTATAGTACTTTTCAGTGGAAGTCTATTGTGTGGCTGGCATCGAGGTCGAGCCCCAGTGTTTCCATGTTCGTCTTACCGTGTACATTTTGGATCGGATTTGAGAGAAATTTCAAATGAATCTTTTTGTTAATTGCTCTTGTTGTTCTTGTTGTTTCAACAAGAACGACTCTTTTTGCTAATTGATCTTGTTGAAATTGATCTTTTTGCTAATTGATCTTGTTAAAATGAATCTTTTTATTGATTGATCTTGTTGAAATGAATCTTTTTATTAATTGATCTTGTTGAAATGAATCTTTTTATTAATTGATCTTGTTGAAATGAATCTTTTTATTGATTGATCTTGTTAATATGAATCTTTTTATTGATTGATCTTGTTAAAATGAATCTTTTTATTGATTGATCTTGTTGAAATGAATCTTTTTATTAATTGATCTTGTTGTTCTTGATCTTTTTGTTAAATGATCTTGTTGTTCTTGTTGAAATTGCTCTTTTTGTTAATTGATCTTGTTGAAATGAATGTTTTTGTTAAATGATCTTGTTGAAATTGATCTTTTTGTTAATTGATCTTGTTGTTCTTGTTGAAATTGATCTTTTTGTTAATTGATCTTGTTGTTCTTGTTAAAATTGATCTCGTTAAGCAATTCGATTATTGATCATTCACTTTTGTCATAATTTTCATTGTCTTATACCTATATCTTACAAGCACAAAGAATTCTAAACAGTTTTTCTTGATTCAAGCCTTTCAAAAATCTTTTGAAATCTTTTGTTTTTTAAAGAAATGATTTGAATTTAGATTTAAATTTAAATTTGAATCTTTAAAAACTTTCTATCTTTGTTAAATGTGAAATTGATGAGAAACGATAACGCCTTATCGTTTCCCTTAAGCCATTCGAGTCGACCTTTTGAGTCAGCAAGGTAAAAGGAGTATTTTTTAGAATAAAAAAAAGTAGATTCTTTTTTTTTTAAAGAAAACCCTCCGTTCCACCCGGCACTAAACAAAGAAAAGTTGATTTTACTCAAAATTTCCCTATCAAAATGCTCAAATTCGGTGCTCCTGGCACACACGAAAGTCACTAAGTCAGTAAGTTGGTCAGTAAGTCAGTCAGTTAGTCAATAAGTCAGTAAGTTGGTCAGTAAGTCAGTCAGTTAGTCAATAAGTCAGTCAGTTAGTCAATAAGTCAGTAAGTTGGTCAGTAAGTCAGTAAGTTTCAAAAAAGGACAACCTGGTACCATTCTAGTCAAAAAAAAAACAAAACTTGCATTAAGAAAGATGATCTTTGAGTAAAGCTCTTCAAAATGACCACACCCTGACACGGGTAAAGGCTTTAAAAACTCGTCTACTCTAACACTATTGAGTGAAAAGTTCAATTTCAAATAAGTTATTAGCATTTCGATTTTTCAAGACACGATTTTGAACTTGATTTCTTTTTATTAAAACGATTTGTGCACGAAAAATGTGTCTCCTTTTTGTCATGAGTTTGTTCTTGATTGTGGTAAGCATTTTTCTATCCTAATATCCGCTTAATTGCTTTAAACTTTAAACTTTAAACTACTGTAGATTGGAAAACCTTCAAATCATCATCTCTCAACGGTTCCATGTGGTATCTCGTTTGCCCTCACCGAGAAAGATCCAAACTTGATTCTGCATGGAGAGTACTTGAGAGAGATCAATGGTAAGAAAGGATTTTGAGACTTGTTAATAATAGCTTCATTTATAGCTGAACGCTTGCGCATTTGTGTAAACACTTTCACGAATTACACCTTTGTCGTTGATCAGGCGCGGATTTGTGACTCGCTAGAGGTTTGCAACAAATGTTCGGTTTTTTTAGGCTATTAAACCCACGTCAAATTCTTTCTTCAATTCGATTTCCATTAAGAATCGAATCACTGAAGCTTGTGGTGATTCAGCGCCTTTCTTCATCAATCAACAACCATTCCGGGGACATTGCAAAGGAGGGTAATAAAGAAGTGAAAGAAAAAAGTTGATTAACGGGATTGAACTCTCGATCTTTTACTTTTTGCTCTAACAACTAAGCTATCCAGTATCTTAACTTGTAAAGAAAGAAGAAAAAGACAAGGGGAAGGAAGAAAGAAAGAGAGAAAGAAAGAAAGGAGGGAAGAAATAAAGGAGGGAAGAAATAAAGGAGGAAAGAAAGAAAGAAAGGAGGAAAGAAAGAAAAAGAGATAGAAAGAAAGAAAGAAAGAAAGAAGAGAAAGAAGAGAATACTTGGGTCTACAGAATCGTTAGCGTACTTGAAATCAAAGCCACATATATTAGAAATAAAGAAGTAAAGGAATTGGCAAGAGAAAGTAGATTTAGTGCTCAGGCTAAGCTTTCGACTTTTCTGATCGTTTAGTGAACGCGCTCGGGATCACTACAGCACTTGTCGTAGTGTTTACAATGAGAGTCAGCTCATCCTACAAATCAATCGCGACTTTTACACACGCATCGATACATTGGCTATCTCGTTTCGTGTTTCTGAATGGATTGACGGTAATTGAAATCATTTGTTTTAGAAAGCTTGAAAACATAAAGCTTCTGGTGCATTCAATTCTTTAACACTCTTGCTCTTGCTCCTCACTCTTGCTCCTCCTTTTGACAGCATAAAGTTAGTACAATGTTTAATTGAGCTTTAGAAAGTGTCGAATACTCTCTGGAATTAGCGCACTCTCATTATAATCCAATGATCGTCAACATCACTAAATTCCAAACGGCAAAAACTGCTCTCTGGCTTGTTCTAGCGTTGCACACTCGAAAGACTTTGAAGATTTTAACTGAATTGAAATCAGTGAGTTTTCCATTTGACAAATAGTATAAATAATGCCCTTCAGAATCGCTCAAACTCTAATTGTACTTATGAGCTTTTGAGTGGACCACCACCTGGAAAGAATCAATCCTACAACGAGAGACGTTTGATGAGTTTTCGGTGAAATGTTTTATAAAATGCAATTGCATCATCAATTGTATTTTATAGAGATAATACTGAGCTTATCCCGCAGCATCTCCAATCCCTTGTCTACAGTCTTCACATTGCATCCTCAATTACATTTTATAGAGATGATATTGAGCTTATCCCGCAGCATCTCCAATCCCTTGTCTACAGTCTTCACATTGCGCGTGGTTGTGCGCCGAATGTTGTTATTAAACCCGACTTTCATTGGGAGGATCTTGACACGGATAAAAGTAAGCCAGCCTAGTAAGTCACTAGTCAAAGCCAAGTCAATCAAAGCCAAGTGTCAAAGCCAGATCTACAAATCATTGCCATTTAGGCGGTTGGATGAATGAGCGGCAAGAGTTGTGTGATGGGAGTGTTTTTGTGGCCACTCAAGGTTACGCTAATCAATTTGAGTTAATCGAAAATGGTTACAATCTCGATTATCGCATTGAATGTGGTAAGGGAAATCATTGAAAACTTTAACAATACTATGAAGTCTTTTTTTCTTTTCTTTTAAACATCATAATTTCATTTCTAAACGATATTCATCTCAATTTACAGAATATCCGATCAATATCGTTGTCGAAGTGATCGCTGTGCTCACCTCCGAGTTGAGCATCGATTTTGAGAGGTTTTTTCGTGGGATTATCAAAAGCTATAGGTGAAAATTGTTTAAAGGACTTTAGAAAGGACTTTTTAAAGGACTTTTTAAAGGACTTTTTAAAGGACTTTAGAAAGGACTTAAGAAAGGACTTAAGAAAGGACTTTAGAAAGAACTTTAGAAAGAACTTTAGAAAGAACTTTAGAAAGTTCGTTCTAAAGTCCTTTCTAAAGTTCTTTCTAAAGTTCTTTCTAAAGTTCTTTAAAAACTTTCTAAAGTTCTTTCTAAAGTTCTTTCTAAAGTCCTTTAAAAAGTCCTTAAAGTCTTTTCTAAACTCCTTTAAAAACTCCTTTAAAAACTTTCTAAACTTTCTAAATGTTAAACATTTAGAATCAAATCGAATTCAAGTGATCTACCATTAAATTACACAATTGAAAGAGTGAATAGTGTAAAGGTAAAGCTTCTATGAATGGATTATCATCAATTTACAATCTAATCAATCTATGAATGAAAAATAACGATTGAAATTTCAGTTCTCATGGTTTCCAGAGGAAACAATCGCAAAACAAGGGTGTTTTTGAGAGTTTATGTGGAGTCAAGTGAGAAAAGTGTGACTGGGATCACTGAATTGTCTCAAATCTCACAAAGAACCACCAAAAGTTTACCAGTTTTCCCAGCGAAAACCACAGTCAAAGGGAAAAGTTCAAAAGATTTCCGAAAATTGTTTATCTTTTTCTTTTACTTTAGTCTTTATTGTATTTTTGAATAAAATGTTGAAGGGATTTTTGGTTTAATTGACTACGATCGAAGAATGGAAATAGAGTGAATAGTGTAAAAATAAAGCTTCTACAGGGTGCGTCATAATTATTGCAACAAGATACTCAAGGCATTGCACACCAAGAAGTTTCCCCTGGAAGAAGATTTTTAAACAGAAATAGCTTTATTTAACAGTAACAAATAAGGAAACAAGAGATCATTCGATATGATCGCCTTTTGCCTTGATAACAGCCCTTAATCGGTTCGGATATGCCTCCACTGCGGTCCGAATGTCATCTTGAGGAGTCACCTTCCATCCTTTGGTCAAAGACTTCTTCAAGGTCAAAGAGCAGACATTAGCCTCTAAGATTGCCCAAATGGAAAAGTCCATCACATTGAGATCCGGTGAGTTTGGAGGCCATTCATCCTTGGTGATCACTGAGGGAAAGTTGGCCACACACCAGTCCTGAGCCGTCTTCTTCGTGTGAGCGGGAGGCAATTAGGCGCAACACAACAAAAAAAAATAAGAAAGCTGTTTGGAAAACGATCTTTGAACTCTTGTTGCAATAATTATGACGCACCCTGTATGACTGGATTATATAATCAATTTACAATCTAATCAATCTATGAATGAAAGATTACGATTGAAATTTCAGTTCTCATGATTTCCAGAGGAAACAATCTTTAACAAACAAAGTTAAAGTTAAGGAAAAGATCTGTATCTTTTCATTTCATTAATTTCTTCATTTAGCCATCTTGCTGTGCCAGAAAAGGTGTATTTCCAAGGTGTCTTTTCTGTCAATCATTCTCTTCTCAACAAAGTGCAATTATAAATCTCTTCCTGACTCCACCCGGCACCAAAAACAATCCTTGTTGGGATTTGACTTAAGAGAATGATTCGTGTTTGTGATAAAACAATGAAATTCTTTGTAATTTTGCATTCCCCTTTCATTCCTACAACATGTTTTGGTACTTGATTTTACCATTTTTCGTCAAAAGCATGAAACTTTACGAGTTGACAATGGAAAATCCTTCGTACGCGATTCATGGATGGTCTTTGAACCAAGAAAAGGTTTTGAGTTAAGCAACATTTCAAATTGAACATCATTTTCAAATTCAGATTGAAAATAAATACTTTTTTCAGAAAATAACCTTAACAATTGCTTCAAAGCATTCGTGGTTTATCGACTTCTCGAGGCTGGATTGCCGAAACGAGTCAGTAAAAGGGGATTTGGTGAGTGGGCACTTTGCTCGATCACAAACGGGAATCAAGCAAAATGGGATCAAGTTGAAGTAGAGAAGAGGATTCTAAATATTACCCTAGCCAGCCTAGTCAACCTAGCCAGCCTAGTCAACCTAGCCAGCCTAGTCAACCTAGCCAGCCTAGTCAACCTAGCCAGCCTAGTCAACCTAGCCAGCCTAGTCAACCTAGCCAGCCTAGTCAACCTAGCCAGCCTAGTCAACCTAGCCAGCCTAGTCAACCTAGCCAGCCTAGTCAACCTAGCCAGCCTAGTCAACCTAGCCAGCCTAGTCAACCTAGCCAGCCTAGTCAACCTAGCCAGCCTAGTCAACCTAGCCAGCCTAGTCAACCTAGCCAGCCCTAGTCAACCTAGCCAGCCTAGTCAACCTAGCCAGCCTAGTCAACCTAGCCAGCCTAGTCAACCTAGCCAGCCTAGTCAACCTAGCCAGCCTAGTCAACCTAGCCAGCCTAGTCAACCTAGCCAGCCTAGTCAACCTAGCCAGCCTAGTCAACCTAGCCAGCCTAGTCAACCTAGCCAGCCTAGTCAACCTAGCCAGCCTAGTCAACCTAGCCAGCCTAGTCAACCTAGCCAGCCTAGTCAACCTAGCCAGCCTAGTCAACCTAGCCAGCCTAGTCAACCTAGCCAGCCTAGTCAACCTAGCCAGCCTAGTCAACCTAGCCAGCCTAGTCAACCTAGCCAGCCTAGTCAACCTAGCCAGCCTAGTCAACCTAGCCAGCCTAGTCAACCTAGCCAGCCTAGTCAACCTAGCCAGCCTAGTCAACCTAGCCAGCCTAGTCAACCTAGCCAGCCTAGTCAACCTAGCCAGCCTAGTCAACCTAGCCAGCCTAGTCAACCCAGGCCATTAAACCCAGTTTCTATAGGATTTGGTGAGTGGGGACTTTGTGCTGTTTAACACACCTGCACTAAAGCATTTCTATGCATTTCTATTTTTTTCCTTTAGCGAACATCTTATTTATCTAAACGTCCCGTTTGTTTGGACGCTTTACCCTTTACAATCAATGGGAAAACGCTGAGCCCAAATGAATGCACTAAATTACTGTAAGTGAACCAAATTCGTTTTCTAATCTTTTCTTTATTTTATCTAATCGATCTACTTTTGATATCTTTTAATATCTTTTAATATCTTTTAATATCTTTTAATATCTTTTTATATCTTTTTATATCTTTAATATCTTTTATATCGTTTATATACGTTTACAGGAGCACGTGTGACTGACTGGTTAAGTGTCTTTTATCTTAATCGGAAGGTCGAGGGTTCGAACCCCACATGCGACATGGTCACCCCCTTCGGATTTCCTTTCCCTTCGGGTTGAGAGGTTTTCTGGAGGGCAGTCTGGTGGTTGTGGCCCCAGTTCTTTAAAGTGACAAGCCACTCCTTCATCGTCATCTTCCCTTCACCACCAAAAAAGCTATTTAGTTCCCCATTGAGCTTAGGGTTAGGGAGCCGTCTGTCATGACGTGGGTTAAGTTAAGATATAGCATAGTATTGTGTGTGTCGTTGTATTGTGATTGATATATTTCGTGTATGCGATAAATTCACCACTGGTAGCCCCAGTCGGTATTTTTTTTTATATCTTTTAATATCTTTTATCTCTTTTATATCTTTTAATATCTTTTATATCTTTTAATATCTTTTATATCTTTTGATATCTTTTGTAAATCTACAAAGAATTAGAGTAAAAAGTATATAGTAATCAAAATCAAGACAAGATTACGATAGTTTTAAGAGAAAAAGCTATACTTTTAGTTCCTACAACAAAGAGCTAACAAAGTATCTTCATACTTGTTTTTATCTTATTGAAAACACTGAAAAGATTGATGTAAATGTTTTGGGAAATCCGGAAAATCTTGAATTTGGTGTCTCGTTCCGGATCAAAGAATGGATTGACGGTTGGTTTATTGGTTGAAGGTCAATAAAACAGAAATTTCAATGGCAATTCGATAATATTTCTATAGCTAGACGAGTCCTCGTTCTGCTCGGTCATCCGAAAATAAGCGATGACTCATTTGTGGCGTTGGTCGAGCCAGAAGCTCTCGTCACTTTGCTCACACATCCGACTTTTCACGAGTTGTGAGATCACAAAGGCGATCTCAAGAATACCACAATTTTACAGACAAAATATCCGGGTGAACACGGAGATTCTGATTGAGGATCATGCATCAAAATACGCTAATCCGTTGAATCGATGCCAGAATTTATGGGTTTAAAATTAAAACTGAAAAAGAATTCAAATGTTTCTGTTTCAGCCAGAGCTCAAATGTGATCAGCTAACTTCTTACTACACTTATGCTGGATCACAAACGGGAATCGATCAAAATGGGATCAAGTTGAAGTAGAGAAGAGGATTCTGAATAACCAGCCTAGTCATCCTAGCCAACCTAGCCAACCTAGTCAACCTAGCCAACCTAGCCAACCTAGTCAACCTAGTCAACCCAGTTTCTACAAAATGCACTTTTTAGCCGCGATTCATCGAGAACCCTCCGCTCTAGTGTAACGACGATTTTCGCGAACAAAAGTTGCTCGTTTTGTCTCTCGTACAGATTTGAGAAAGAAAGTGAGAGCTTTTCATAGAAATACAAATAACTTTCCTAGGCTCAAACTATCGCACCTGGGAGTCGACTGGGGCAACGCTGATGGTGAGCAGTTACGAGTATCCGTGGCGTTTTGATGAACCGGACAAGTACGCGGCTGAATGCATGCGGTTAAGATACGCGTTTTTTGTGGTAAACTTTTATTTTAGCTCAACTAAAAGCATTTCTAGGATGCAACAGTTTGGACGGAAACGCAAATGGAGATAATCTCACTCGAGAATGGTCGACTAAATGTGAGCGGCTATCCGGTTGATCCTGGCGATCGTTTCTCGTGCACACACACGACAAAGTGTTTCGAGAAAATGTATGTTTTGAGAGTTTCTAGATAGATAAACTTTTTAGAATCACCGACAATACTTTCAATCTGACACTCGACTTTCGGGCAATGTGCTTTATGGTAAGAGATACATCGTTCCCGACTACACATTTCAGTTATAGTAGTTTTTATTTTAACCAGAGCCATCATTGGATTACTGGTTACGGTTAAGACTTTTTTTTAAAAGCTAAGATAAACCAAGGAAAGCCAAAAAGTTGAACTACCTTATTTCTTTTTAAAGTTATCCTGGTGCCCGAATGATTTAATGAAAGAAAAGAGCGGTTTCCTCTTAAAACTTTCCTATTACTATTCCTATCACGGTTAAGACTGTTTTAAAAAGCTAAGATAAACCAAGGAAAGCCAAAAAGTTGAACTACCTTATTTCTTTTTAAAGTTATCCTGGTGCCCGAATGATTTAATGAAAGAAAAGAGCGGTTTCCTCTTAAAACTTTCCTATTACTATTCCTATCACGGTTAAGACTGTTTTAAAAAGCTAAGATAAACCAAGGAAAGCCAAAAAGTTGAACTACTTTATTTCTATTTCAAGTTATCCTGGTGCCCAAATGATCAAATGAAAGAAAAGAGCGGTTTCGTATAATTTAACCAGAGCCATCGTTGGGTGACTAGTTACGGTTAAGACTTAAAACTTTCCTATTATGATTCCTATCACGGTTAAGACTGTTTTAAAAAGCTAAGCTAAACCAAGGCAAACCAAAAAAGTTAAACTTCTTTATTTCTATTTCAAGTTATCCTGGTGCCCGAATGATTTCATGAAAGAAAAGAGCGGTTTCCTGTTAAGACTTTCCTATTACGATTCCTATTACGGTTAAGACTGTTTTAAAAAGCTAAGATAAACCAAGGAAAGCAAAAAAAAGTTAAACTTCTTTATTTCTTTTTAAAGTTATCCTGGTGCCCAAATGATCAAATGAAAGAAAAGAGCGGTTTCCTGTTAACAGCACAAGCGATCAATGTTCCACCAAAAGATGACAAATGCATTGAAAGTTTTCATTTAACAGAAAATGATTCAACGATTATTTTACATGGATTTGAGCTTCATCGTTTATCGGGTAAGAAAAAAGAAATTGTTTTTTCTCAGTAACATCCGAAATTTCGTTAGCAATGACGGCACCGATCTGCATTGAAATCCCGTCTTGCGTGAATTGCATCCTTCTCATCGATATGTCGAGGATTTGTCGACGTTTACAAGTAAATGTACTTTGAGCTTTTAAGCGTACTCTTTCTGAGACACTAATCATTTTCATATTCATTTCATGTGCAGAATCAACGCGAGATCACTGATTGTCTCAACATGAATCCAATAGCGATTGATGGAGAAATGCCTATTTTTGAGAGTTGCAAGAAAACGTCGAGTTTTATTAATTATTGACTTTTGTATTATAATTCTACGCTAAATATAGTTTTCATTTGATTGTCTCAACATGAATCCAATAGAGATTGATGGAGAAATATCTATTTTTGAGAGCTGCAAGAAAACGTCGTTCTACGCCAAATATAGTTTTTATTTAGCTTTCGACAAGGTGAAAATCAAACACTTGAGAGTTGTCGGATGAAAGTCACCTCGCAAAAATCACTGAAATTAATGCTAAACCCGATGCCCGAATCGGAAAGTGATTACAGTGCGATCGCAATCCGAGTGGCTGAGTGGATTGATGGTGAGTGAGCTAATTGAATAATGAAAAGCATCAATTTATCGAACACAACTTTAGTTGAGCAAGATTTTCGTCTGGAACTCATGGTGAATCTCATTGAGCCAACAGCTTTCCGAGTCGAGAAAGCCGAACGCGAGACGTGGATCGGCTTAGCGCTGCTGAACGGCTGGATTCTCAAACATTTACGCAAACTTCGATGGGTGAGTGGAAAATGTTCTATGGAGTAGTGAAGTTATTGCTAGTTTGTTATTGATCTTTGCCATCTAGCAAGTTCTTCCAGGATCGACCCGATCACGATTGTCAATACGAGTTTCTAATTGGTTCCCCGCCTGGTAAAGGGGACTATTCGATGAGGAGATTGATTACATTCAAGTAGGACATTTTCTAAATTTGAACAGTCAATGGCAAGATTAAAGTCAGGCTGGCTAGATCCCAAGATTGAGTCAAGACCAAAATATTCAGCTAGATTCAAGTCCGAACTAGAGCCAGACTTCAAGGACCGACTTGATGGATAGTTCAATGCTAAAACCAGAACTAGGTCAAGCGTAAAGACATGAACAAAGCTTTTCCCAGCTGCACAAGCATCAGCTTCATATTAATGATAACTAAGTTTAGTGACGATCAGGCGCTGAACACTCAATTCCTCGAATCATCCGTCTACAGTGCCCTCGTGCCTGCCGGTTGTTCGCCAACAATTTTGATTTCACCCCAAATCTATATTGAGGGGCCACACCATGAATCAAGTAGGGAGAAAAAGGAATATCACAAGGAATATCAAAAGGAATATTAAAAGCCATATCAAAAACCATATCAAAAGCCATATCAAAAGCCATATCAAAAACCATATCAAAAACCATGTCAAAAACCATCTCAAAAACCATATCAAAATCAATATCAAAAGCAATATCAAAAACCATATCAAAAACCAGATCATCTCTAGTTCTTTGGTTTAATGAGACGCAAGAGTTGTGTGATGGAGTGACATTTATCACGACACAAGCCTACAAAAGTGCTTTCGATTTCATGTGGGAGGAATACTATTTGTCGCGTTTCATTCATTGTCGTAAGTTAAATGTAAATGTTTTGAAAGAGAAATTTATCATTCACTTAGCTCACTCGATTGTCAAGATTACGGTAGAAGTAGTCGCCGTATTGAATGCGGCACTTTCGCTGGAATTCCAAGCTGCCGACAAATCGTTTCGGCAAGCTTACTTGTAGCTTTGTTATTAGATTTTTGAAATTTCATATTATAGAATCACTCGAAATTCAACTTTTTTCCCTCACAACTACACAGAAATCGATGTGAAAAGCGTAAAAGTTAGTTAATAAATAATAAGGATTAAACAAGAGACAGATCAAAGTTAGTTAATAAATAATAAGGATTAAACTAGAGACAGATCAAAGTCAGAGCTAAACTAGAACCAAACCAAGCCAAGATTAGAATGATAAAACCAGGCTAGAGCCATGACCAGATCAAGAACCAAGTATAAGAGCTAATGAAAGCAAGGATATAGGCTAGAAAGGTCAGTAGAAAGGTCAGTAGAAAGGTCAGTAGAAAGGTCAGTAGAAAGGTCAGTAGAAAGGTCAGTAGAAAGGTCAGTAGAAAGGTCAGTAGAAAGCTAAGCCAAAGATGGGGGATCAGGCTTGGTCAGAATAAACAATGATTCATTCAGCTTTTCTGGTCACGAAACGAAGAGGACGAGGGTGAGGATGGGTGCTTTGCAAGGGTTTATGTGGAGAGAACGAGTTTTTCGGGTGGAACTGTTGCATCGAAACAAGATGAAAATCATTCGTCAACAATAAAAATCCATATTTTACTTCAATTCTTTTTGTTTTTCTTGTTCAAATTGTGATTTTGAAAGTTTTTTTGTGCTTAAATTAACCGCATAAATCAATGTAAACACTAAAAATTGCGTAGATTTTGATTTAATAAAATTTTTGTAGTTAAAGATCTTTCTTAAATGCAAAATATTTCGGTTTATTTAGCTTTTTAGAGTAGAGTTTTGTTATCGTTATTTGTGAAAAAGAAGAGAAGAAAGAATCGTTATCACATTTTCAATGGAAACGGTTCATCGATTTTTGAGCACAAGATTTTCTTCTAACATTTTTTTGTATTTTAAAATATTTCTCTTTTAAAAGTATTTCAGTTTTTGACGAAGAATGATTTTAAAAATAAGAAATTAGAAGATTTTGAACGATGAGAGCTTCGTTTTCTCGATTTCATATGAGTAGGTGGGTTTGATTTTTTGCAATTTTTTTAAACTCTCCCCCACTCTACGTATTTTTGAGCCTACATTGAAAAAAAAACAATTATTTTTCTTTAGAAATTGGTGGCTTTTAACCCTTTCCTTTGCACTCATCTTTTCTTTTTACTTTCTATTCATTTACGATGAAAGCTATGATGATTGGAGTGTGACGGTGAAACAAGATCTCAAAGAGTGTCAATGCTTCGGTGAGACGGTAGGTCATAGGTTTGCATTTTTTTGTTTGCAAGTCTTTTAGCTTTTAGATTTGATCAAGCTAAGTAAAGCTTTAAACATAGGCTTTAAAGCTAGCTTCTAACTTACTTGTTTTTTTGCTTCGGGTTTACTGCTTTATTGGATCCGAGTTTCGATCTTGACCTAGTCCCAAGTTTGAACATAGTAACATAAGCTCATCATATCCTCTTAACTTTGTGTTGGGTTGATTCTAATCTAGACCAACCCAAACCCAAGCCAACCAACCCTCAAGCCAACCCAAACCCAAGCCAACCAAGACTCAAGCCAACCCAAACCCAAGCCAACCAAGACTCAAGCCAACCCAAACCCAAGCCAACCAAGACTCAAGCCAACCAAGACTCAAGCCAACCAAGACTCAAGCCAACCAAGACTCAAGCCAACCAAGACTCAAGCCAACCAAGACTCAAGCCAACCAAGACTCAAGCCAACCAACCCTCAAGCCAACCCAAACCCAAGCCAACCCATTCTAGAATATCCCTAACTACTGAAGAGAAATTTTGTTTGAATAATTTTCAATTCACACATTTCAGCTTTGCCTTCAAAAGGACGATCTTGTCGGTCAAGCATTCGACTGTTCACTTCGAAAATTTTTGCACCAATTTCAACTCAATGATTATGCAATAAAGAAAACGGAGGCATCGAATTTCTCGTAAATTTAAAAGAAAGTTAAAGGAGATTTTGCTAAATTTTTGCTAAATTTTGTAATAAATTCTATATTTCTTTAAAATAAAGAAACTCAAAAATTGAAAACCTTTTAGTGAGAATCGATTTAACATTCAATTTTCAAAGTTTAAAAGAAAAAAATCTTTTAGCTTTGACGCTTTGACTTTTTAGCTTTGACGATGTGATTTTCGTTACCTACAGTTCGTCGAATCATTTCGCTGAGAGTCGTCAAATGATCGTCGATTTGCGAGAAAAATTCACGAATCGAATTATTTACTACGATTTGGGTTTAACCCATACGGAGGTTAGTAGAGAGGAAAAGGCCGTTTAAAAAAGCTGTTTAAAAAGGCTGTTTAAAAAAACTGTTTAAAAAAGCTGTTTAAAAAAGCTGTTTAAAAAAAGCCGTTTAAAAAAGCTGTTTAAAAAAGCTGTCTAAAAAAGCTGTTTAAAAGCCGTTTTAATCACCCAAGTTAACCAAAATAAAAAAAGGCCTGTATTTTAGAGAAAAGAGCTCACCCGGGTTTGTAATTTGGAGATTCGAGCTTTCGATTTCGATGCCTTTCCAGAGCATGTGAGGAATCTACATACTTATGCTTTCAAACCGATCATACAAGCGGTAATTGATTTTTCTTTTTGCTTTTTTATTATTTTAAGATTATTTTAAGGAAATGCTAAGTGAAAATGTGGCTTTCTGGATAGCAGATAGCTCGGTGCAATTTCGAGATCGATTAATGCTGCAAAATTTCTATGATGACGTGATGAGTGGGAAAGTGGGTTCTTTGTGAAGAGCTCTCGTAATCCTGTTGTCATTTGTGGCATTGAAGATCGAAACTAGGCTTAGAACTCAAGAGGAACACAGTGATAGCTATAGAGTGATAGCTATAGAGTGATAGCTATAGAGTGATAGCTATAGAGTGATAGCTATAGAGTGATAGCTATAGAGTGATAGCTATAGAGTGATAGCTATAGAGTGATAGCTATAGAGTGATAGCTATAGAGTGATAACTATAGAGTGATAGCTATAGAGTGATAACTATAGAGTGATAACTAGAGTGATAACTATAGAGTGATAACTATAGAGTGATAACTATAGAGTGATAACTAGAGTGATAACTATAGAGTGATAACTATAGAGTAACTATAGTGATAACTATAGAGTAACTATAGAGTAATTATAGAGTAGTTATAGAGTAATTATAGAGTACCAATTATCACAATAATTTAGGCACCAGACTATATGATTGGGGAAATTGTTACAAAAGAAGTTCCCTACACTCATCCAGGTAGATCGATTATAGGAAAGATTATTGTAATTCTCATTTTCGGGTATGTTTCGCTATCTACCACTTCAACCGGACTACCATGATGCTTGGCAACGAGCAGCAAGTGTGTTGTTTTTGCGGAAGAGTCAAGAGAGTAAACGATTGTTGAAATGGTGAGCACAATGAATGATTCAAAGGAGAAGGAAAAGGAAAAGCTTCTACTTAGGAGCGTATCAAATACACTCCACGATTAGATCTAGGTCTGACCTGACTTGGATCTAGTTAGTCTAATCTGGCCAATAGCTAGCTTACTCGATACTTGATCCAGTTTGCATTTGCAGGTTACTCCTTTGTGCGATAACCGAGAAATGCATTGCGCCAAAAAGGGCATATTATTTTTGCTCGAGTCCACCAAAATTGGGATGTCATCGGTGACTAATCGACTTTATGAATTGAATTGAAATCAAGTTTTAGCTTCGATCAAAGTGCGACAAGTATCCTTTTCCGAACATTTCACCCACCAAACTCTACAAAAGGCTTTTACTATCAAAATGTGAGCACTGTGAAAAGAGAAGTTGAGAGATTTGATGTATTGGAAGAGATTCTTTGTTGATTCGTTTAAAGATGTTAAAGATGATCTTCTTTAAAGATGATTCTTTTTAAAGATGATGTTCTTTAAAGATGATGTTCTTTAAAGATGATGTTCATTAAAGATGATTCTCTTTAAAGATGATGTTCTTTAAAGATGATTCTCTTTAAAGATGATGTTCTTTAAAGATGATGTTCTTTAAAGATCATGTTCTTTAAAGATGATGTTCATTAAAGATGATTCTCTTTAAAGATGATGTTCTTTAAAGATGATTCTCTTTAAAGATGATGTTCTTTAAAGATGATGTTCTTTAAAGATCATGCTCTGATTTTTGATCGTCTTTTGATAAAGCTTTAACTTTTTACCTCATTAAGCACACAAAAATCTCTTGTTTTTTTTGAAGAATTTAGTGCAAAAAGAGTTTGTTTTTATATTTCTAATGTAAACTTATAAATTATTCATCTTAACCCTGAAAAGAATCAATGTTTAGTGAGAAAATTCTTTTTTCTGAGGGTTAACAAGTTCTTTTTTGATGGAGAAAACAGGTGAAAACAAATGAAAACTAATCACTATCATGAAATTTTTGACTTAAATATTTGATATTTTTATTGATAAATGTAAATGTGAATTTAAAAATGGTTGCTTTGACGTTTATCGGCGTTTTTCTGAACGTTTCGTTAGGAGATTGGGAAATGAATGTTTGGACGACGATTTACTGTGATGATGCATTGTTGAGAAAGAGTGAGGTCAGATGTACTTTGAGCTAAGATAAGTATAAACAAATCCTATCTAACACATCGCCTTCAATCTTCAATCAATCTTTTGAAGCTCTTCAGTGTGCCAGAAAGAATAGGTTTACACGTTCACACGTCGCTTGGAAGTATTGCAATACTTTAAGCTGTACAAACACTTTATCTAACTTAACGAACTTAAAGCATTGTTTCGTATTAGAGATCTTTCATTGAACTTTAATCAGACATTGTTTCGTATTAGAGATCTTTCATTGAACTTTAATCAGACATTGTTTTGTATCAGAGAGCTTTGATAGAACTATAATCAGACATTGTTTCGTATTAGAGAGCTTTCATTGAACTATAAATCAGACGCTTGTGTGCACCAGAAAGAGTGTTTTCCATTTTCCAAGAAAACATTAGTTTAAAACAATTCAACTGGATATCTATAGAAAACATTACCAAATTCAATTCAACTCTTTTCTCAGATTTACCCACTAATCATCCTCATCTACGTCATCGAATTCTCAGCGCTGTTTGTGTCAGCATTGAGCTTTTGGGTGTGCGTAGGGGAATTCTGGAAGCACACAATATTTCACATCAATTTCACCATTTTGCTCACATCGATCTTTGCTTTTTATTATACATCGATTGTGTCAAGAGTGTTCATATTTGCCGCTCAGATAAATGTGTTGACATCGGGTTTTTTGTGTACTTTATGCTGTTGAAAACAAATTTTTCCTTCAGATAACCCTCTCTACTTACCACTAGTGATCGTTGGCTCGTTTTTCCGGATCGAGTGCCTCATTTACGCGTTGTTGTTGATGATCGCAATTGCGATCGAACGGGGATTTGCTACTGTGTATGTACGGTGAGTGAACAAAATGACAAAGTTCAACTTGACAGTATATTTATGAGATATTGTAAGCGAAAACCGCAACAATCTCTACATAAAATTTCAGTGACTACGAACGTTTCCAACAAAAACATCACTCAATTTGTTTGGTGATTTTAGGAAAAGTCATTTCGACGATTCTGGCCATTGTTTGCATGATTGGTGAGTTGAATTTATTATTGAAATGGAGAAGTTTTAGTTGACATAAGCGGGGAATTAATGACGCTTTTTGCCTTGATTCCTTGCATCATTGCGGCTGTGGTTTGTTTTTTAAAAAAAAGTGTTCTAAAAAGCTGAACTCTTTAGATTTTCATCTTGACCGCATTATGGAATTGGTATTATTTGCGAAAAATTGGCAACGATTTACATTACGGGGAGTACTCATTGAGTTTGCGATTTCAGTTGGAGGAGAATTGGCGGGTGTTAAAGGTTGGCTGACGTGTTGTTTCAGTAAAACTCTTCATTTAGGAATAAACAGTAGGAATAAATCAGTTTTCAGTTATTGGCGCTGAGCTCTCTGAACTCGATGATGATGTTGATCGGTGGGATGGCGATTTATGGTATCTCGTTGACAGTGCTATCAGGGAATGTGGAATTGTTGCAAAATACTGTGCTCGCTCTACTTGATATGCTAGTGGCTGTGTAAAGATGAAAATGATTCAAAATAATTCAAAATTTTTCAAAATCTTCAGCTTTATCAACTCGTTGGCTTTCATCTTTCTGTGGGCTTTTCCGCACTTTCGGAATCAATTCCAGCGATGGTTCTTTTGTCGGAGAAAAGTCGACACTGAAACGATTCATGATGTAAGTGCATTTTAGACAACTGTAAAGTTGGATATACTGTAGCTGGATTGTTAAAGAATTCGAAGGGACTAGAACTTTTATAGCTCGTTAAAAGATGGTCTCAAGAAAAAAAACTCGCTAAAAGCTGCCCAGCTAAAAATGGTATTATAGTCCGGTTAGATTGCGAGCTTTTTCTGTGGCCAGCCTTTTAATAGTGTAAAGCCTTGTAACTTCCACAAATATACGTTTTAGACGAAAAATCGAGCTTCGATCGACACGGAGGCCTACTTCTCGCAACTACAAAAGCTTTGGGCTTTGAGCTGAAATAAATTTGCAAAAATGGCAGTGTTACCAAAAAAATGGGGGGACAAATGCTACCTTTTTTGCGCACCTGGACATTTGCGCACCTTTTTTTTCGCTGGAAAAAGTTTTAGAAAAGGCCGTAGAGCTTCAAAAATGTTTGCATCTAAGGGAATCGTATGCGTAGATTCCGAATTTTGACAAATCAGACCTCGCTGACACGTCAAATTTGGGCTAAAAGGCAAAAACTACGCAACTTAACGCTTTTCCACAGCGAGATTTGTCGAAATTCGGAATCTACGAATATGATTCCCTTATATGAAAACATTTTTGAAGCTCTACGGCCTTTTCCAGCGAAAAACCGTGCGCAAATGTCCAGGTGCGCAAAAAAAAAGGTCGCATTTGTCCCACCCCTGTAAAATGCACGAAAAATGAATAAAGACAATTTGACAGACCTTCTAAATAAACCAACAACAAAACAAAAGCTATAAAAATCGTTTGACTGAGTATCTTTTAAACAGTGAAATGGACTATTTTAAGGGTTTGATTAAAAATTTTCATTCTTTCAACTTCCTTATTGATCGGTTCGGCTTTGCAAGTTTTTCTAAATCGTCTGAAGATTCTAGTTTTTTAAGCGTGGGATCTGTTCAAAAACAGATAAATTGACCCGATGGCGCAAATTTTGACTAGAAATTCGCGTTGTTTGAGATGAATTCATGAAATTTCACTGGATTTTTCAAAGTTTTTAGCTTAACTCGTGGTATATAACCTAAAAACTAGATTTGATTTAATTCGAGCGGTTTCTTTTGCTACAACGACCCTTACGCTTGGATATTTTCATTGGGAAGTGTCCGATTCTCTTTCAAACGCCCCCAAGCGTCAATAGTTTCCACTTGTCCCCCATCCGCTCGTTGTTCGATCGGTCATTTACCTCTGTTTTTCTCATTTCTTCTTTTGATGCTTTGTTCTAAAACGCTAATTTCCTCAACTTTAGACATTCGACAAATCGTTTCAAGCGAGATGAGTGCCGCCGAAAGCGAAAAGAAGTCGATGGACGAGCAAACGACGGCTCAAAAGGTATTCATTGAAGTTTTTGTGATTTTTTGCTGTTTCTAGGGTTAGTTGGTTGAAAATAATGCGCTAAATTTTGTCTTCATTGATAAAAAAAATGGTACTTGAGCGAGCTAAATGTTGAACACTGCTTTACTAACAACTTAAGCCAATTTTTTTGCAATTCTGAGATGTGTAAGTGATTCAGCATTTCCGCTGTGCCCTTTTCTAGTTCTCCAATTGTAAATTTGAGGCTTAGGTGGACTTCAAAAGCATCTTCAGCAATGAAAGATCATTGGAGATAATGTCCTTCGTTGTGATCAACGGTTTTACTAGCAATATAATTGTTTGTTTTAATTCTTAGCTGGTTTAAAGCAGAATTGTATCGATTACAACACAATCGACGTGCTGAATCATTTCTCGGACATATGTGAGAGAATTGAGTACGTTGAAATGGTCAGAGTTTGATTAAAGAACCCGTGATCGATGAGCTATGCTCCAGTACAGGTCATATGCTCTAAATTTTTTCAGCTCGGTTCTTAGAGCTAGCTGTTCAAAATTTGATGGCCCCTCTAAATTTTCTTTGGGTGAATGCTCTAACAAAGTAACCTCATTTATGACTGATGGCGTTGCCAGGCTCATTCTTGGTTTACCTAAACCCGAGCCCAGTCAACAAACGCTTTGTAATGTTATACCAAACTTACAATGCTCTTGATACCATTAAAATTAATCCAATCAAGGATAAACAAGGTGATTCTATGCTATGAGCATCAGCACCTTTCTCCAACCTTTGTTAGAGCTTTTACAGTGACCGCACCAAGATGTGTTTATTGTATCTTTTCTAGGAACCCGTTGATCAAACAAGCGACGTAACTAGCAATGAGCCGCCTAAAGAAAATGGCATCGAAAAACCAATCGTCAACGAAGCGTTGCCTCAACTTGCCGAAGTCGATGATAGAAAGCTACCAAAAGACGAGCTTCTCTTCACCGACAGTCACAATACTCAATCTCAGCTGATCACCGACGTTGGATTGAGCCAAGCCGACGAGCTGCTGAATTCGTCAATTCTCACTTCAACCGATGATCTTTCCACCGACTACTTGGTTGAGAAGACCGCTCCAGCGCCTGTGGCCTCTAATTCACAAGGTGAGGCGAGGCGTCTGATTCTAGAGAATTGTGGGTGAAATGATACCTTAGTTGCAAGTGCACTGATAGGACAGTTGTCCTTAAAGTTGTAATTTGTCAACTCGCTAAACAGAAGCCTCCTTTCACCAAGATGCTTTTGACTCTGAGCAAAAGTCTTGTCACCCTTTAGGTCAGAAAGACATCTTGATCCCTATGATTTTAAATAAATTTTGAAAGCGTGCAAAATTCTAACTCTTCCAGTTGTTGCAGGATATACCAGGGTTGTTCCGAGAACCCACCCAATTTTTCATTGTGGTACCACCACTATCTCCGTTTTTTTGTAGATTGACGAGTTTTAGCAAAAAAAGTCATAAACTTCGTGAGTGACTCACGAACTCATGCCTATGACCCAAGCTTCTTGGCGAAGCTGTGACTTTGGAACAACTCTGTATAACCCACAGCTGGCTAGGGTATTTAAGCACTTAACGGCGTATAGATTGTGGGGTAAACTCGTTCGCTTTAGTCGACTTTGTGTTTTTCTAACGTTTAGTCTTTACTCACTTACTAGTTAGGTATAATCGATGCGTCATTTTTATTTCTTTGTTTTAGATATTGGTATTGGCCCTCCAACAAGCGTCACTGTATCGAATCTCGAACTGGTCGACGAGGCGGTCAGCGAAGAATTGGTGGATGGAAGTCAAGTAGCGTTTTGTTTAAAGTTGAAACTAAAGGGATACACTGATCCGTATAACCAAATGTTTTAGGATGTGAAGCAAGATAACGTGGCTGCCTCGGAAGTGAAGAGTCAAGAGGACGAAGTGATGGAGTGCGACGCGCCGGTCAAAGAGAAGCCGCAAGTGATCACGCTCGATGACTGTGACAATGTGGCAATGAAAGACGACACAAAAGAGAACAAGACGAAGAAGTTGGAGAACACTCAAGTGCGCGATTACAAAGGTACTCAATTTTAAAAGAGTGCAAACTTTAAATGTTTTTATTTTAGTTGTTGGCTTCACTCCATTGGACAACTTTGGAATCCCAATTCAACAGGATCATTTCGACAAATTTGGCTTGAACACAAAAGTTGATTTAATCCGTTTGCGCTTTTCTATACAGACCTTTAGGTATGCGTCATGTACAAGAAGCACTTTGAGAGATGCTTCGCGATGGACCCACGACGAAGAAACGCTGTGATTGTGAACTTGGAGCGAATGCGGAATTTCGTGAACATGATGGACGAGGAAAGAATGAAGAAATATGTCTATGATGTGAGTTTGGGTGCTGAATGGGTACCCGCATGAAATTTCCAATATGAGCACGTTTTATTTAGGCCAAGCTCAAGACATGGATGAGTGGGAAGCTGGAGACCGCCGACAAAAGAGTGCTTCCAGTAAACTTGCCAGGACATCATGTTCCCGGTTACCTCAAAGATGGCATCGCCGAAAATGTTAAGGAGGTAACAATTTATAGCTTGAATACGATATAAATTTTAAATTTTAGACTGTTCACGTTCAAAAGCAAGAGAAAGCACGGCGTAAGTTTTTTAGAGCCAACGAGCAATATTTTCTTTAGAACTGATGGAAAAAGTGGGAACTACTGAGAGCGATCCCAGCCAGGTAGTTTACCGTGCTTTTATATGGTGTAAGGTGACTATTTTAGATTCGAGCCCCGTTTCTCAACAAAAAGTTGCGTGGTGGTTCAATGGTAGCTATTTGACCGTCAGGTCTTTGATATTTCTTTTTAGGGTGATTCACGACCGCCCAGACAACAACGAGAAGGAAAATCGACCCTTACTTTGGGTTGGTTTCTTAGAATTAAAAATTAGAAAAGAACATTCCCCTCTTCTGCGAACTATATCACTCCACAAGAACAAAATTGACACATTCGAAGTTTATCACAAATCATGACAAACAATCGAATGAACTAGCCCTTGAAAATTTCCAGGCGGCACTGGTGTATACAACCCGAAGCCTACACGTGCTCAGAAGCGCTTACAAAGGCGGCTCGTGGCAAAGGAAAATGCTACGGCAGCTACGTCTGCTCCCCCTACCCCTACCCCTACGACTACCGACAGTGCCCAATCTGAAGTGGTAACCGAAGCAGGTGTGCCCAGTTTTTATCTGGGTTAATGATCTCGGTTCGGGATTGCTCTGTAAATGACAAAAATAGATAGACCACTGTCAAATGATTTTAAAAAGACTTGCCACAACAGAAAATGTCTTTTGTCTAAACAATAAACGTCTTGAAATTTTGTTTTTAGGTGGACCAAGCTTTGCTCCGATTGTTTTCTCGCCGACGACGCTAGCAGCAGAGGTGACCGCTTCTTCAGCTTCCGGAACGCTTCAACAGCCAAACGATGAGGGCAACGAGGCAATCGCTATCGACAACTCAGTGGTAACGCCCGTGAAGTCGGATCAGAAGAAAAATGACGGCAACAGGCACAAACACAAAGAGAAGAGAACTGAGGTGAATGATAAACTTTTTACATAGTTATAGTAAGAAATTTTAAATTGAGTAAAGATCAATTTATTTGTTTATTTTTAGAGCTTTCCGCAGAAACCCAAAGGAGATGATCGTAACAGGCACGGACGTGGACCGCAGCACAGCGACAGACGTGGTCGAGTAGCAAGTGAGTCTTGAAATTAGGGTTGTTCATCATCACTTTTATTTTAGATGGTCCAAGAAGGGATCGTGCCAATAATCGAAGACCGGAGCCATCCAACAATAGAAAGTTTGTTTCGTTTTTGTGTAAAACAAAAATGTATCTAGGCGCGTTCGCTCTCCACCACGACGTGGGGACAATGTCTTTACCAATGAAAAACGCGTTCGTGTCTGGGACAATCAGGTAAATTTTGTACTAAAATTTTTGATTTTTTTTTTGCTTTTAGGGATCCAGATCTGCTTATTCGGTTGAGCCATTGCCATTCGCTAGGAGCCTTTTCCAGGTGAAGATTTACTTCATACATTTTGACAATTTTGTCAATAAAATAGGAAAAAGTGAATAAATCTAACTGTTTATATTTAGGTGCCTTATCATCCTCCTTCTCTGATGGGCGCCGATTCGTATGCTAGTTCAAGACGCGCGTACCCGGATTTCTCAACGGTAGCACAATCACCGGCACCTCCATTCGGCACCGCACAATCTGGTTTCCCGGTCTACTCGGAGAGCCCCTACGGATCGTCGGCTCGAAACGACAAATATGGACAATCGGCGTCTTTTGGAGGTGCGCAAGCGTATCAACAGACGCCGCCGAGTGGTTTTGTAAACGATAGGGATACACTTTCCGAGATTCGACGCATCGAGCGCGAGTTAGCCACGATTCGTCAACATCAACACTACGGCAATACGTGAGTTTTTCTGGGGAACTTTTAAATTAGAAAAGTGCTTGCCATTTTAAATTCATGAATAGTCAGTCAATCGTAGTTCAGTTTGAATCGTTAACCTTTTCTCATTTCAGGGGCAGTTCATCGGCTTCCACTCGCTCGAGTGCTCTCCCAGTCTCACCACCAAAGAGTTTCACTATGTAAGTGATATTTGTGCTGTAAGTGGTATTACTTTTTTTTCTAGGTATGGCAGCTCGAACTCCGCCTTCGGTGGTTCTGCATCCTACAACTATTCGGGATCATCAGATAAGCAGCCACCAAAAAGGTATTTTTCGATTTTGAATAACTAAGGAGTTAATAGAGGAATTTAAATAAGGCATACAATTGCTCATAACTATATTTTTTAGGTTTTCTAATGCCTTCGGATACTGATGTGGGTGTGCTTGTTTAAATTGGACGGGCTTTAAATTTAACGTTCGTTTTTGTTGTTTTTGATGTGTGCTCTCACGCACAATGTTTTATTTCTCTTTTGATTTTTGTAAACTTAATACCGTTTCATTTATGATGTCTTTTTAATTTGTTGTTAGAACTAGCATATGTTTCAATCGTTCGAGAAATTATTTTTTTATTTGAAACTTTATGAAGCCAAATTTCCGACATTTGAGTTCCCCACTTCAGCCATGATATCTGAGGTGAAGAGACGCTTCCCTCGGACTTGAGTTTTCCATGAGTACGAGAAAAAAACGACAAGAGAAGCGATGAGGATAAGCTGAAGAAGGGTAAAGGAGATCATGTAGAGTCTGAAATTTTTATATTGTCTGAAGACGCAAAAGTTGGGTGCTACTACATACGAAATTTTCCTTTGTTTTTTCATTCAATTTGTCTCGCCCAGTGTCTAAATTAAACGAAAGTAACAACTTAAATTAGAAAACCAAATTAACGACATAGGTAAGAACTTGCAACTTTTTCAATAAGGTTAAAGAATCGCTTTACAAGTTGCACACTTAACTCCCATAATTTCCACATCGAATGATTCATCCAGTAGAGCTAACACCTCGCGCATTTTAAGCATCGAAAGGTTTTAATAGGAGAGACGCGTTAAAGCAGCCATTCTAGTTGAAATTTCGAAGAAGAAAGGCTTCATTTTTGCTTTTGCCTATTTATTGTTTGTATGTCGTAGCCGATTATGAATGAAATTTTTTGCCAACCTCTAGTAGAGCAACCCTTTAATGTATGAGGACAATATTATATCATTTTGTAAATAAATTCGCGAATTAAATTCTGCGTCAATTGGTACCAAATTTGTGGGGTTAAAAATCGCGGGCGCTACACTTTCATCAAAATCGGCGGGGTCCCCCAAGGGGGGGGGCGGCCAAACATAAAAGCGTTTGGTATCATTCAACGCAGAATCATTGATAAGTAGGTTAAATTTTTTAAATTAGAAAGATTAGATAAAAGAAAAAAATTAGAGCAAAAAAAAGTGTTTGTTGGAGAGAAAACTTTGAAGCCCCGCAATTTTTTTTCCTTTTTCTCTAATCTTTCTAATTTAGAAAATTTAACATAATTATCAATGATTCTGCGTTGAATGATACCAAACACTTGATGATTGGACGCCCCTTAGACCCACTCATTCATAGTCGGCTACGGAGATCCCGCCGATTTTGAATGAAACGTTGTAACGCCCGCGATTTTTAACCTAAACTCACAAATTTGGTACCAATTGACGCAGACCCACTCATTCATAATCATATATGTATATGTATATGTATATAGGGAAATTTTGAGTGGCCCCGCTAAAGTGTAGTAGCACTTAAACAGTTGAACAGTTGCTCCTTTGCGGACCTTGAAATAACTTTTCTCATTGACAGTGACTCTTTCGTTCCATTATCTTTCTCGCTTTTTTTCGTTGGTGGCAGTGAGAAGGCCATGACATAGAAAATCGCCGGTAAACAGCCGCGTTTGATGCTTCTTTTCTGCAATTTTACGATAGTTAATAGTGAATTAGACTTGTCGCTGTTTTCTACTCGTCAAAAAATTTACTTTCAACTGAATCAGCGCTAAACCAAGCGCCACCGCAGCGGCCACAGTGCCCAGGCAGCACAAGACAAAACACGCTGAAAAGAATCGACTTTGGAGCTTTGAGTAACGAATGAGTTACCTATTAATGGCACTTTCGCCGTTCGCGGGATAGTATCGGCGACGACCGAGAGAGTGATTGAGAGAGATAACATGGCTGACATACCCACTTGGAACTGCAATCGAATGCAATATAAAGAGTGCTTTCAAGTTATGGTATAGATGAAGCTGATGTATGACTTTAACTTTAAAATATGGCTCGCCTATCGTAGCTCGTACAGTAGCTCGTACAGTAGCCCGTACAGTAGCCCGTACAATAGCCCCTACAGTAGCCCGTACAATACCCCGTACAGTACCCCGTACAGTAGCTCGTACAGTAGCCCGGACAGTAGCCCGTACAATAGCTCGTACAGTAGCCCGTACAGTAGCCCGGACAGTAGCCCGTACAATAGCCGGTAACCCACCAAATCCGATCCAGCCTCATGCGCGGCTGGTAGGAGAATACCGGTGACGGTGAATGATGAAACGAGAACCGATGGAATGATGATGACAACGATGAAATAGAAAGTTTTTCGTTTCAGTTGAGCTGTGAATGTCACCTGGAATTGTTGTGTGTTTTAAATTGCCATCATCTTTGCCTCTTTAAAGATGATGTCACCGGGGAAATTCTCTAAAGCGTAGAACTTGTTCTGGATGGTGACGTTGATCATCTCGTACTCGCTGTTCCCCTAAAAATCTTGATTTTCTACGAATTTGATGCGCGAAACGGAATACTTTTACGGGGCAAGAAGCCATGTTTTTTTTTTTGCTTGAATACTTTTCCCCTTTACCCACTCTGCAATCGGCTCGACGATCAATGATCCCATGTAAAGCGTAATATTTATCGACTTGCAACGGATAGGTGATCTCCAAACCGCAATATTGTGTGTCAAAGGGTAATCTGAAGAAGAAAACTCTCCAATTTCAAAAGCATTTTCCGAAAGCAGCACCTTTCCACTTGCACCTCGCAAACGGCTTTCGTGAACTGAATGATTCGCAGTGTGATCACACCGTTTGGCTCGATTTCCACGTCGTTTTCAAAACCCTCAAAGAGGCGACGAGTTTCCATGCTGAAAGATATGAAAAGTCAGGCTCTTTGTCAAGTTTTTTTACTCTACCTGTTGTAGACGGAGAATCTCGGTGTCCAGAGGAGTTGCGCCGGCAAATAGATCGTATCATTCTCGTAGTCGATCGGATTGTAAATAAGTCGAGGATCTTGCCATTTCTATGATAAAATTGATAAAATCGATAAAATCTTCTCATACTACACTTTCCACTTTACTACTTTAATCGAAAAGACAAAAGGGAAACTCTAGTCTTAATTGAATTCGAAGTGAGCAAAGAAAATCGAATATTTGTTCAGCTCAAAGCTCTATAGCTCAGATAGCTATAGCTCAAATAGCTATAGCTCAAGTAGCTATAGCTCAAGTAGCTATAGCTCAAGTAGCTATAGCTCAAGTAGCTATAGCTCAAGTAGCTATAGCTCAAGTAGCTATAGCTCAAGTAGCTATAGCTCAAGTAGCTATAGCTCAAGTAGCTATAGCTCAAGTAGCTATAGCTCAAGTAGCTATAGCTCAAATAGGTATTTGAGTTGACCATTGAGATTGCGTAAAGCCATGAGGCACTCTGCTCATCCTCGATCAGATTCGTCAATTGGAGGTATGGAATCGAGAGATTTACGGAGACGGGGCGGCGAGAGCTAGAACAAAGTGCTATTAATAGAAAGCTATTAATAGCTAGAACAAAATGCTATTAATAGCTCTTTTACACATCTATTCATAGGATACCTATTGTCAGAGCTTACTTACTTACTTATTTACTTACTTAAACTAAAACTTACACATAATACGGGCTCACGCGTCGATCGTATCCAACGAGCAAGCGAGTCGGATCGACCATCGCTTTAATCACTTTGTTGATCTTTTTACTTTAAAACTTGAAAACTCGATTCGATTAGTGTGAGATTTTTGAAGGAAATCCGATTATGCCTTGCGCTTCAAGTTTACTTTCAATTTAAATCTCATATAGGCTTACCCTGGATCTTTAGAATGTTGATAATCATCAGAGAAACCCATAAAAGCATGTTCATTTAATATTTAATGAGTTAAGAATTCTAAAAATTAATTTCTGACTGTTTGAGGTTATTTGAAAAGACTCCTTTTTCAAGTGTCACTTGAAAGTGATGCTTGAAAAGAAATTGAAACCTTTATTTCCTTTATTTTCCTTATCAAACCAACCGAAAGGAAATGTTTGTCGTTATTGAATCTTGACGTGAACTTGACATCAAAAGAGAGTTCTTTAAACTTTTATTCATTTTATATTTATATTTATAAGTAAATAATCAAGGGTTTTAAAAGAGGAGAATTCTATTTTCAATCATTTAAATTTAACTCGACCACCGTTTTTTCTCTAATAGTAGCGCAATCCGGCGAGCCGAGTTGATGACTATTTTACGGTTTCAAAGCTTTTGCAGAAGCTCAACACTCAAATCCCCTACTAGATCTCATCGTCAGCTACATTTTCCGACCCCACATCGATAGGTTCTGATAAGCGGTTCTCGAGATTTCGAGGAATTTCAGCGACGTGCACTACTATAGAAAATACGGTAATCAATTCTTTATTTTAAAAAAAGGAATCCAATATTTTTCAATGTATTTAAGATTGAATATCGCAAATATTGAAATCGAATTTATTTTTAAGCTAAGGAAATCTGTGATCGATTTGTGATTGGTAGGGTGACAAGAGTGGATGGAGTTGAGCGTTGTTGAAAGGTACGCGGTGTGACGTCTTGTTTCAAGAAATAGAGGATGATCAAGCTGAAAGATCGTTTTACTTTTTAATGCTTAAGTCTAATTTGTTGCTTTTTTTTGGCTCATCTCGGTTTAGATCAAGTTTCAATCGGCTATTTTTGACTTTTGAATGCCTAGTTTTTGTTTTGAATAAAATCAAAAATCAACAGCAAAAACAATAGGCTTTATCGAAACATTGATTGATTAATTGATCTGAGTAAATTGAGGATCTGAACAAACAAATCAAAACTTTGGCTTTAATCTAATCTAATCTAAAAGTACTAGACGATTAGATCTTAAAATTTCGATTTTAAAAACCTTGTGATGGACAAAACAAAGCAAACAATCAAAAAGTAATCATTGGAGGATAAGCAAGGTTTAAGCAATCCTTGTCTTTGTGTTTTGTCTGGATAAGATCTTGAGCTTGACCTTGAGCTTGATCTTGAGCTTGATCTTAATCTCGAGCTTGATATTGATATTGATCTTGAGCTTGATATTGAGCTTGATCTTGAGCTTGATCTTGATCTTGATCTTGTTCTTGATTTTGTTTGAAAAGCTTGAAATAACTTTGGCTAGCTTTGTTACCCTTGTAATCCCGCGTGAATCGGAATGATCAAACGAAAAGAAATCAACATTATGAGAACGTTACTCGTCGAGATAAAGAGAAAAGTGTATGCAAAAATGGCAACACAAATCGAGCAGATGTGATTGGAAATCATCTGGAAATCGCTGTTAATTAGGTTTAGAGAGTGTTTTTTGAAAATCAAATTCTAACTCACGTATTTCACGAGTCTTAGCTCGGCGCGTGTTTTGTGATTGGTGGCTTGGTTGAAGCGCTGGAAATGGGGAAAGAGTTGGCACAGTTGGCTATTAGTAAAGCAAGTCCTCAAGCAATTAAAGCAATTTCTAGTACTCACCGATCTGTACCACAATCTCACACAAATCGATGTGTCGATGAGGATGGCGATGATCCAAACAGCGAGAGGACATTGCTCGATCGTTAAATTAAAAGAGATAAGACACCAATTGCCGAATTGGAGATCTTGAATTGATGGAGACGAGGAAGTGACAATGTTCAAGCATGGAGCTGAAAAAGAGAGATCAATTTTCGTGGTTTTTTTTGTTTCATTAGCTTTGCTGAATTCGATTAAAGAACTCTCTTTTGATGTCAAGTTATATCAAGATTCAATTGACGAAAACATTACAAACATTTCCTTTCATTTGTCTAGGGAATTGAGTGCCGAGGATGAAAGAAATCAATCTGATTAAAAAGTTTTAATCGCTCGATTTTCTCATGTTTCATTTACCGTATTTTCTCTAATATTAGATTGATGCATAAGTCTTTTCGTTCCTTTTCCTCTGCCTTTTCAAGCCAACAAATGCACCAATTAAACTACGGTTGATTTCATTAGAAAAACCAATTATTTTTCTGCAAAATAACAAGACTTATGCATCAACCTAATAGTAGTGCACCCTGAGCCTCGCTTAAATTCCTCGAAATCTCGAGAACCGCTTATCAGAACCGATCGATGTGTGGTCGGAAAATGTAGCTGACGATTAGATCTAGTGCAGGATTCGAGTGTTGAGCTTCTGCGAAAGCTTGGAAACCGTAAAATAGTCACCAACTCGGCTCGCTCACCCATCCATTCCCCCTCCCTCACCTAGTGCCTCAATCCCGAAAAAACTTCTCACTTCAGAAGAGACTTCAGATCTCAGATTAGTCTGAACTACTAGCCTAATCTGGAATAATATACCGTCTTCTCTCTAATAGTAGTGTAACCAAAGCCTCGCTTAAATTTCTCGAAACCTCGTGAACCGCTTATCAGAACCTATCGAGGTGGGGTCGGAAAATGTAGCTGACGATGAGATCTAGTGGGGGATTCAAGTGTTGAGCTTCTGCAAAAGCTTGGAAACCGCCAAATAGTCGACAACTCGGCTCGGCCGGGTTGCGCTACTATTAGAGAAAAAACGGTAGTCGAGTTAAACTTAAATGATTGAAAATCGAATTCTCCTCTTTTAAAAACCTTGATTATTTACTTATAAATATGAATTAAAGTTTAAAGAACTCTCTTTTAATGTCAAGTTATATCAAAATTCAATGAGCGAAAAATACAAATATTTCCTTTGATTTGTCTAGGAATTGTCCAAATAAACTTTATAAACTCACTTTTATAATTTAAAGAATCAAATTTTCTTTCTTCAAATTTAAAAACTTATAAAATAATCTTTAGTTTATTAATATAAAATATGAATATATTTAAATACAGTCGAACCTCTCTATAACGAACCTCGATATAACGTAAACCTCTCTATAACGTAAGGCGTGACCGGTCCCGGCCGACGTTAAGCTATATAAAACGGCACTCTATATAACGTAAATCTCTATATAACGTAAGCTATAGCCGTCCCGTGAGTTACGTTATAGAGAGGTTCGACTGTAAATATTTTTTTTTTTTAAAAAAACATACGAGTGAATAACGGTAACGAATAAATGATAGGAAACGAAAGAATCAAACAGATTTGGAAAGTAGCCGTTTGAGCAATCATCTCATACCTTAAAATTCTTTGCTTTAAACTTTTCTTTTATTCAAATGAAGGTCTATTAACAACTTTAAACTAGTCTAGTAACATTAATCCCTTTTTCGATTGAGTTAGCCCTTGTCTTGAGCATAGCTTCGATCAACGATTCAGGGTTTCGTTTAATTCTAAGCTTTCCACTTTCAACTTGACCTGTAATTTCACAAAAACTTACCGTTTTCCTTGGAAGTTAAAAGCAAAGAGTCGATTGATTGATAGACCCAATTGACAGAGAACTGATGAGCCTTGGAGACAATAGAAAATGAGAGTTACAAAGTAGTTGATTCGAGAAGTGAGGAGGTTAGCGGAACTGAAATTCGAATCGATTTCGCTTTTCGTTTAGCTAAACACTTACAAAATGTATGCTGGAGTGATGAAAGAGAAAAGAATGGTGACATTGATGAGTCTTGTTACTTGTTCACACAATAGATATCCCTTGACAGCTTTGGCGAACCGATGATGTGGATAAAGGGCACGGATTGAAAAGAGAACGATGATAGTAGATAGGGAACAGGTCTAGAAATTAATGAAAAAAAAATGGTTATCAAAAAAAGATGGAAAGTTATATTTTGATACAACAAATTGTTTTATAAAATGGCCATAACAAATGAGAAAAGCTCTTGATCAAAGCTCTTGATCAAAGCTCTTGATCAAAGCTCTTGATCAAAGCTCTTTATCAAAGCTCTTGATCAAAGCTCTTGATCAAAGCTCTTGATCAAAGCTCTTTATCAAAGCTCTTTATCAAAGCTCTTGATCAAAGCTCTTGATCAAAGCTCTTTATCAAAGCTCTTTTCACTTACCTTTCACTTAGGAGTGAATTTGAAATTGTAAAATGGTTACTGATAAACTTACGATAATTGCTGTGCAGCAAAGCTTCATCCTTTCTCCATCATTCACCGTTTCTGGGAAATTCAATAGAAAACCGGATTTGAATTTCGTGAATTTTGAATCCATTGAATTAAAATTGAGAGAAATTTTGAACGTTTCTCGAACTATAAAAAGTTCAATTGTTGATGCAACAACTAATACGGGGGGAAAATCCCCTGGGTCAATAATGAAGTTGAATACAAAATTTAAAACTATTTTTCTTGGTCAAAAATCGAGGAAAAAAAATAATGAGAACAATTTCGTATCTTATAAATATGAATTAAAGTTTAAAGAACTCTCTTTTGATGTCACGTTATATCAAGATTCAATTGATGAAAACATTGAAATTGTTTTGTTTTGATTTTGATTAGAAAACAGAGAACAAATTGTTTGAAAGAAAATCTCTTTTCTAAAGTCAAGCCAGAATCGAAATGAAACGTTCCGCTTTGTGCAGTTGTATTCAATTTTGGTTAATACAGCTACACTGCTTCATAAAGTTCTATGGACACTTACTTTTTTTAACCAATTTTATGCACTTAAGAAACAATAGCGAAAAAAAGTTGTTTTATCGTATTTTCCTTATTAGATTTTCTATTGAATCGCGTTAGATATACTTCCATATTTTGGAATATCAATGTTTAAAAATCGAATTTTGTGCGCTCCTTTAGCGCTTTCCATATAATGATATGGACACTTTGTTTTTCGACCTTTTTCTCATCTTTTTTCAGATAATTTAGCTCTTTTTGCCTAAAAATCATTTCTTTAAGGTACACTGAAAAAATGCCAAGAAACCGCTGTCGGAAAAGGAAACTGAAATCATAGAGGCAATGAATCGCGGAGGACACTCAAATCGAGCAATCGGACAATTTCTGAACCGAACACCAACGTTAATCGGATCCTATCTGGCTGATCCTCTACAATACGGAACAAAAAGCCGACTGGTCAAAAACCTTTGGTTTCTGAGCGAGATAAGAGACACATTTGCGGAGAAGCATCCAACTCTACGCTTTCCTGCTCGGATATCAAGGCGAATCGCAAGCGAAATAGTCCGTCAAGTGCTAAAGAAAAGGGATTTTATTGTGCGAAGGAAGATGCGTAAAGCACCGTTTATGACGCAAGATCATTGCAAGAAAAGACTAGAATTCGCCGACAAAAACAAAAGAATTGACTGGAGTAAGGTGGGTGTGATTACTTGGCTGATGGAAATTTATTATTATGTTTAGGTCGTGTGATCGGATGAGAAGAAATTTAACTGTGATTGGCCTGATGGAAACCGCAATTATTGGCATGATTTAAGAAAGGAAAAGATTAGCTTTTTGCGAAGAAACTTCAAAGGAGGTGGTGTGATCGGATGAGAAGAAATGGGCAGCATACCAATGGGCAGCAATTGCTTCATCTGTCCGAATAAAACTGGCATTTGTCCCAAAGCGCATGAATTCAGTCCAATATCAATTTGCCTTGCGGCAATCACTTCTTCCGTTTTGGCGTCGGAATTAAGGCCAAAATCACATTTTCATCCAGGACAATGCTCCAATACATGCAAGCCAAAGCACTAAAAGATGGCTACAACGGGAGCAAGTTCGACTCATCGACTTGTCTACCAATTCTTCCGACTTGAAACTCCGACTTGTCTTCCGACAAAAAAACATTCTTTTGATTATTTGCTGGGTTGGCTCAATTTCGCGGTTGAACCAAGTGCGCGCAACGCGTTGGGCTAGAGTGGAAGAGAGTGACGCGTCTGTGCAGAGACGCAGAGAAAGGCGAGAGTCATCCATAAGCATCCGTGTACGGAGAAGAGTCTTAGTGTTCCTCTGTAGTTCACGTTGTGCGTGATTTTACATCCATAGCTATCATTGTTTTTCTCCATAAGTTTTAATTAGGTAGTTAAGGAAACCGGGAAGGCAAAAGGATTTCTGTGTAAAAGCTAGAACCATCGATGCTAATTTTGATAAATCTCAGTTGATTTTAAGTAGAATTTCGAAAATTTGCATATGAAACACGCCAGAAATACTGGGGAAAAAAATCATTTTCATTTTCTCCCTTTGTTTGTTTCCGAATTGTCGGGTTCCCCTTGTTGTTAAGTTTTGCTTTTTGTTGTCATAAAATTTACGTCCTTTTACTTAATTTTCTAAAGCACGCACAGTATTACGCCAATTAGAAGTAATAATTCTACTAAGTTGCGGTGCACTCTAACTGTGCTAATTTTTTTCCGGAAATGGGCGCTTTTTCTTTCTTTCTTTCTATCTTTTCCTATCTTAAAGAGTTTGTGTAAACAATTCATTCTTTTTTTTTCAGATACCTCGAAATCTCGAAATGGCGCAGTCAATTCGAATCAAGATGATGGACAAGGAAGTGAAATTGGATCTGCCGGACAATCTGATCACCAAAAGCACTATCAAATCTGCATTTTTACTTGACGATGATGCAGTTATTTCATTGTCGTATGGATTGGATGATCATCAAAAATATTGTCGGTAAGTTACTTTATTTCTGATTATAAAAATATTTTATCTGATTTGGTTAAAGTTTAATTATTTCTGATCTTATTTCAATTAATTTAGAGTGAATGAAGCTGGCACGACGTTTTTGCTTCCGGATGGATGGCCCGCTATCCAGTTTTTCGTTGACTCGAATAAGGCACCTTCGCGACCGGAAACTCCTGCTGATATCGAAGGTTTGTATGATTTACAATTGAATTTATTATCTTTCATTAACAACTTTAGTTTGTATGTTTTTATACGAAAAGGATTTTTACTTAAATATTCATTTTAGCACAATTTTCGGACTACAAACGGGATCGACCTGAATCGCCCTACGTTATTGATGGTATTATATTTTAAATAGTCTAACAATTTATTGCTGGTTTTTAGAGAAACTGGCGAGCGAACTTTGCAACCGGCTCTTCTTTGCTCCTCGAGCTTAACCTTGTTTACTTTTAGTGATTAACTATTCAAATTTAGAGTTTATTTTGTTTTTATAAAGAATCCTTTAGAATGTTATCAAATAGACTCGATTGAACTTGATTAAACTAAACAATCCAGCAGTTAACCCAAGCATTCAAATGATACTTGAATTGATTCGATGAGTTGATTCAATGAATCGATTCAAGCTATTCATTTTATTGAGTCTATCAATTAACTTGAGTAATTGATCTAAACATTTATCTTATCAAATATCAAACAGAACTTTATTAAACTAAACAATCCAGCAGTTAACCCAAGCATTCAAATGATACTTGAATTGATTCGATGAATCGATTCAAGCTATTCACTTTATTGAATCTATCAATTAACTTGAGTAATCGTTCTAAACTTTTAGAGAAACTCGAAAAAACGGTGATTTGATTGGTCCAGTCTCTATTTGATATCATTTGAAAGGCTGAGAGCCTAAAGGCCTAAAAGCCTGAAAGCCTAAAAGCCTCAAAAGCCTAAAAGCTTTTCTTTCACTCTATCAAAAAACAGCAATAATATAATCTCTAGATAAAGTTATAACTCTTCAAAGCTCAGCAATCAAGACAGAGACCAGAAAAAGAAAATCTTTCGTTTTACAAGCTAACTGTTTTATAAGCTTTTCATAGTGGATAGTGAATTTTGTTTAATTTGTTTGTTTGTTTGTTGTTTGTTGTTTGTTGTTTGATTTGTTGAATTGAATGCCTCAGAAAGGAGTTCCGGCATTCAACGCAAACAGGAAAACAAATAAATCTTAGTTTTTGATTATTAAAAAAGAAAAACTAAAAACTTACTTTCATCATCATTGTCTTGAGGTTGACTTGTTAAAATAAATGGCATACGAATTGAGTTGATGCTTGTTTCTCCAAGTTTATGAGAGCCTCATCTAAAGAAAAATATAATGGAATGATGTAAAACAAAAAACAAAATCAAACTAAAAACTTGAAGAAAAATAAGAACTTTAAAATAAAACGTAAAAAGTGAGCATTCATTTCGTATCTATTAGATTACGCAACGCATGAGTTCCACCCGGTACTATATACCGGGTGAATCGGGTGAACGTTGACGCCACACGTTGGCGCCACACGTTGACGTCAACCTTCCTTCTGAAAGTGCGACAAGTTCTGAAATCAACTGAAATCATCTACCTCTTATTGTTATATTTTAAAGAAAAGTCGAAATATCACTCGAATAAATCCCGAAAGTTTGAGATAAATCATTTAGCTGTTTTTTTGGTACTTGTTGTTGTTCTTTTTTAAAATCATTTTTATTTTTTGCTAAATATAAAATTATATGGAAAGAGCTCAAGGAAATTTTTTACAAAATTCGATTTTTAAACATTGATCTTCCAAAATATTGTAGTATATTAAAAATACAATAACATTTCTGTTTCAATGGAAAATCTAATAAGGAAAATACGATTAAACAACTTTTTTTTCACTATCGTTTCTTAAGTGCATAAAATTGATTAAAAAGTAAAAGTCCATAGAACTTTGTGGAGCAGTGTAGTTACAGTAATGTTAGCCAAAAGAAAACCATAAGCTGATATGAGAGTAGAGCAATCTTGAAGTGCGGTCTGTTGATCTTGCATCTTTCTTATTTCTTGTCTTCTTTACCCATTTTTTATTGAAAATTGTTGAACAGAGTTTATCATTTACTTATTACAATTGAAAAAGTGGATTTGTTGAATGAATTTTCCCGTTTTCCGTTAATTCTTGATGCCATCGTTGAGAGCGATGGCTTGGTTGATTGCGACGAGTTTCGTCATTGGCTGACTCATCTAAAAACATAAATCTCAATTTAGAAATGTTATTGTATTTTTAATTCTAAAGATTTGTCTTTTTTTTTCCTTTACTTTGTCCTCCATTTGTCCACGAAGCATTCTGCCGAGCTCAGCCGCTTTTCGACAAGTTCTGAATTTGACAATTTGATAAACCAGTTTCACACTATTGTAATAATCTACTTTACTATTAGTACAGTAAAGAATAATGCACTAATAGTACTCGAGAATCATAGTAATTTACTCTAGCTATCCCAGTTTACATACAACTCCAAGAAACTCATTCGAATCAAAGTATTCAATGATTAAATGATTAAATGATTAAATGATTCAGATTCTATTAGCCTTCAATCGTTTCA